AAAAAAAAAAAAAAAAAAAAAAAAAAAAAAAAAAAAAGAGGAAAAGAAGAAGGCATGCCAAAGGGGGATGCCAAGTGCCTACCCCTGCCTCTCCTATCCCAGCACCTCGTCCTAGGCTTCTGAGGGTTTATTGGTTGAGGAAAGTGGCCTTAGGTAAAGCTGGTCTCAGGAAACTATGTTGTCAGCCATTTACTAATGGGAAATAAATGGTCTCTGTTATGTAACTGGGATTCACACCTTATCTATAGACAGTCCTTGCAATGGCCATAACTCTGGGTAATTTTGCATTTGTAGGGATGTGACAAGAAAGCCATGGTATGGGACATGCGCTCTGGCCAGTGCGTGCAGGCCTTTGAAACACACGAATCTGATGTCAACAGTGTCCGGTCAGTGAGTACAGTGCTCGTGTTACTTCTCTGACACACCAGTGTTACCTGGCCTTGGGTAATCCTTAGCCCAGGAACCACCTCCAGACTCAGTTTACTTGGCTGAGAGAGGCCTTCCCAGCAAAAAAAAAAAAAAAAAAAAAAAAGGCTGATTTATGGTGAACTAAACAGTGCTCTAGATCTCATGGAGAATTTTAATTTAATTGTATTAGGGGCAGTTAATACCCTCCCTAAATCGGAAAAGCATTGCTCATCCATTCATTTGACAAATATTGAGTATTTATATGCTAGACATTGTTCCAGGAACTGGGAGTATAGTGGTGAACAAGATAGACAAAGTCCATACTCCTAGGAGGTACAAAGTAGACAAAACACAAATAAACAAATGTACAATTTAAGATACTGATAAGTGCTATGAAAAAGTAAAACAGGGCCAGCCCCGTGGCTCACTCGGGAGAGTGCGGCGCTGGTAGCACCGAGGTCGCTGGTTCGGATCCGATATAGGTATGGCCAGTGCGCTCACTGGCTGAGTGTGGTGCAGACCACACTGTGCCAAGGGTTGCGATCCCCTTACCGGTCAAAAAATAAATAAAAATTTTTTAAAAAGTAAAACAGATGTATTGGGATGTGTTATTTCTAACATAAAAGTCAAGGAAGGCCTCTCTGAGAAGGTGACATTTAAATTGAGGCCAGGCTGATGAAAGAACCAGGCTGGCAAAGAGTTGGGGAAAGAACACAAAGATGAGATATTCAGGGACCTAACAAACAACCAGGTGACCACTGGAGAGTTTTGAGTTGGGGGCGGGAGAGGGGGGCAGATAGTTAAGATGATCGTGTTTTGCCTTTAAAAGATCACTCTGACTGTATGGAGAGTAGATTGTAGGGGAGCAAGAATGGGCATCTGACAGCCAGTTAAAAAGTTGTTGTATGAATTCAAGAAAGAAATGATGGTGGCTGCAACTAAGGAAGTCAGGGAGGAGACAGAGAAATGTCAAGAATTATAAAGGGTCTCAGATTTTACCTACCTGCAAGTTAACAAGTTAGGCTGCCATGGCTTATGGATGCTGGTAGAAGACACGAGACTCCTGGGTCAAAGGTGAAGGACAGTTTATTACACATAGCGATATTAGTAGCCAGAGTATCAGCATGTTTGTGCTGGTTACTTGATCCCCAGTTCCACATGAGAAGGGCCAAATGACACCTGCACATGCAAGGGGATGCATTATAGGAGAAGAGCCCTGAGCTTAGGGAACCCAAATCTTTTATCAGGGGCAGTAAGCAGCGATCCATTTAGTAAGACAGGGAGGACTGGAAGAAGTACAGGCAGGAGGTGGTTTCTGCATGTGGAATTCAGGAGGTCTGTTTGGGGTTGGCTAAATATGAGATCCCTATTGTACATCCAAGTGGAGATGTCAAGTAGGTAGCAGGATCTATGGACTGGATCCTAAGAGAGAGGTCAGGTCTTGACATGTGGAAGGTGGCACTGCTGAGACAGTATGTAAAGTATCTTATACTTAGAGTCCAAGAATCTTCACTATTCTTAGCGGGAAAACACCAGACCTGTTCCTCTTAAAATCAAAGACAAAGTAAGAATACTTACTTACTTTAGTACTCTCTGCCTTCAAATGTGGGATAAAGAAGAAGGAAATAGATTATCACTTTTTGCAAATGTGCAGTAATCACCTAGTAAATCAATGGAAATCAACCAGGAAATTCTATAGCTGGTAAGTGAAGTTAGTAAGATGCAGCCTGGAAAATAAAGCCACAAAAATAAATTGAATCCCTGTATATTCATGAAATACAGCTTTGAAATGCATATTCCCTCACCCATGCTGTGCCCTCTACCCTGAACTGTCTTCTTCTAAAGTCCACTAGACCATCAGTTCTCAACTGAGGCTTCCCTTTTTCCAGGAAACCCCACTTACCCACCCACTGGTTCCCAGTGCTGAGTTAGGTGCCCTCCTGTGTGAGAGGGACCCTGCTGTACGGCCAGTTTATGTATCCATCTCCTCCACTGAGGAAGTCAGAGAGAGAAGTAAAAGCTTATGATGGTAACCAGAGTTTATGAATTCTTAACAGAAGAAATAAAAGAAGATATTGATAAATGGAGAAATAGACCCTATTCTTGGTAGGAAAGACTAAATATAACTTTTTAAATTACCATTCTTTTTATATAGAGTGAATGAAGTCCCGGTTATTTTATAGAGTGGTATAAATTGATGCTGAGATTCATCTGGCAGATTCTCCAGGGACTGACTCAGTGGGCCATGTTCAGAATACCTTCTGGTTTCCTTCCAGGGCAGTCACTGGCTGCAGTGTCCACCCAAGGCTGAGGTCACACTAAATGTTGTCATTGGTCTGTCAGCATGCTCTTGGTTATATACTAGATTAGTTAGGACATGGGCTTGTATGACAGGGGCCCAAATAACAGTGACTTAAACAACATAGGAGTTTATTCTCACATTAAAGTGTGAGTTGCTGTGGTGCCTTATTCTGTTTTTTTATAACTCTGTTCCTAGGAAGGTGTTTTTAACCTCCTGGTCTAACTAGCCTACCACCATGTCTTCTTTCCAGCCAGTGGGAAGAAGAGAGCTGAGCTTATCACTTCTGCTTACATGCCATTTGCCAGAACTTAATCACACGACCACATTTCGTTCCTGAATTTCCTGCCAGCAGAAGGAAATCATAGCGCATGTGGTCCCAAATGGAGTAAAATCTCCAAATCATTTTAATTTGACATTGAAGTGTGGGAGCGTCTGATACTCCATGAGTTCATAGTGCTTTCAAAAACATGATGTGCCCACACCGTGATGGACTGACCTGAGCAGAGCTGAAAATGTCTAGCATTTCTCCTCCAACCTTACTGTTCTCCGTCCCCTTCTTTCAGACCAGTGTAAGTCAGTCACACAAAATCAAGCTTCCCTCTCCCTTGACAGACATTTTGACTCTCACTTTCCCCTGGGTAGAAGAGGTGATTCCATATGCTGTTTTAAAAGGCCTCCTCCTCCAGCTTTTGTGGAGCTACAGGGTGTAGGTCATTTGTACAAGAAAGAGGAAGCAGTGGAAGGTGTGGGGGACACAGCTGGGTGTAGGCAGGTGAAGGGGTTTTTGAAGACCTTTGTTCTAATCCTGCCTCTCACTTGTAATCTAGTGCCCATATTCCCTACTGATCATTGAGAAGAGAATGACTGAAGCAGTAATAATCATCAGTTATTGAATGCTTTTATTTGGCCCCATGCCAAATTCCTTGCATGTACTGTTGTATTTAACCTTCACAGCAGGGAATATGCATTATTATCCTCAAATGAGGAAACTGTGGCTGGGCAAGATGTATAATTTTTTGTCAAAAGTAGCACATGAAGTAAGTGGTTGATGCAGATGTCAGAATGTGGTCCTGTTCCTCTGATTCCAGAGTCTGTCCTAACCACTTTCTTATCCCTGAGCTCTGAGCCAAGTCTTGGGAATTAGGTATGTGATCGAGGGAAACTACATTTGCAGAGGGCCTGCTCTGTGTTCCATGCGTTATGCAAATACACATATTATCTGGTTTATTCCTCATCAACACTCTGCGAGGCCAGTGTCATTGTCCCCTGTTTACAAGGAAGAAAACTGTTGGGCCTGCCATGTGAGCCTCCACTCCTGGCCTCTGTAACAAATGTTCCTTGTGTTCCTAGAAGTGGAGATTCTAATTCCAAGTGCATGGCATGGGACAGCTTTCCCAGATGGTTCTCTAATGGGAGTCCAGGGTTGGGAATCACCACTATAGATAAAGTGCTTTCTTCCTGAATTTTCTCTCTGCAGATATTACCCGAGTGGAGATGCCTTTGCTTCAGGGTCAGATGATGCTACGGTATGTTTCTAAGTTATTGAGAGCATTTCTTGTTCGAAAGAGAGAGATGCTAACAATTTTATTATTTTTAGAAAATAATTTTTTTTTTCTGATTACAGAAGTAATGTGTATTCAATGAAGAAAACTTGGGGGGAAATTAAATTACCTTAATCTCCCTACCCAAGAAAAATCACAGTTGAATGAATTCTTTTCTGTCTTTTATCTTTTAAAACAAAATGCTTTATAATTTGCCTTTTCGCTTAGCAACAGATTGTGAACACTTCTGCATGTCAATAAATATTTTTCTCTATTATATATATTTTTAATTTATTTTTTTCATTGTACATGTTTCCGTTATATTTTTTAGTGATTGAACAGTATTCCATGTTATATACATGCTATCATTTACTTAACCAGTCTTCAATTTGGGGGCATTTAGCTTTTCTCAAGGGTTTTTCCTTGTTAAAAACACTGCTATAAGTAAATATTTCTGTACTTCTCTTATTATTTTCTCAGAATTCTCAGACATAACTTGCTAATATATAGACTAAAAATAGACCTAGTGTTAAGGTGTTTGATACTAATTGACGAATTGTGTTTTTTTGAGAGAAAAAAATACGAAGGTACTTCAAAAAGTTTGTGGGAAAATAGAATTAAAAGATGATACAAATCTTTATATGAACTTTTTGAAAACCCCCTTGTATTTTCTTGTTGCCCTTAAAATATCAAATATCTTATTAAATAATGGATTTCATTTTGATTTGCTGTTATGGAAGAAATTACAAAGAAATAGATTTAGAGTTTTGATAATAATGAAACCTTAAAACTTCTCTATGTCAAAAAATGTGTAACAAAATATAAGGGCATACGTTTTGGAAAAATTCTTGCCACATACATGGCAGATCAAATTGAAATCCTTTAGATCTGAATGGGGTTGCATAATAAATAAGGTGAATACCCCAATCAAAAAGAAGATAAAATACAGACCTTTTACAAAGTAGTAAATCCAAAATGGCAAATAAACACCTGAAAAGCTTTCAGTCACCTGTAATCAAAGAAATGCAAGTTTAAGGGATCAGATGCCCATTTCACCTTCTGGATTAGCAGAGACACGTGTGGGGGTGGAGTTGGTGAGATAAGGAAGTCTTGGATGAGCCTGGGGTCAGGACCACTGCTACCACCCTTCTGGAGGGCAGATGTGCCATATGAATCAAGGGTTTTTAAAACATCCCTGCCTTTTAGTCTCATCATGCTATTTCTTGGAAACAATTCTCTTCTAAAGATTCTGTTCCTTAGCTTTTCTCAGGAAAATATCAGAGATGCATATAAAGATTTTTACATAAGAATGGTCATCATAATATTATTTATAAAAGAGAAAAATTAGGAATAGCCAAAACACTTGCCAGAATCTATTTAGCCGCACCGTTATACCCACCTGAAGAATATTCAACAACAATGTTTTTTGAAGATAATTTAATGATGTTAGAAAATGTTCATAATGTTAATAGAAGCAAAGATGAAACATCCACCCCATTTAAATACAAACATAAAATAGGAATAAGACTGATGAGCTGGCACGTTAGCTCAGGTGGTTAGAGCACAGTGGTAAAACACCCAGGTCCAGGGTTTGGATCCCCATAATGGCTAGCCGCCAAAAAACAAAGAAAGGAAAGTGAAGGGAACTGCCCAGACATTAGTAAAATACCTCTAGGATTTGGGGTGACTTTCATTTCCTTTATACATTTCTGAATTTTCTACAATGAACATGTATTCTTTAACAGAAAAAAATGTAGGGTTTCATTTTTGGTTTTGTGTCTGAAGAAATTTTCTGTATTTGCTGTATCCATAAGTAATTGCTTTTTTGTTTGTTTGCACCCAGTGTCGCCTCTATGACCTCCGGGCAGACAGGGAGGTCGCTATCTATTCCAAAGAGAGTATCATATTTGGAGCGTCCAGTGTGGACTTCTCCCTCAGCGGTAAGAGTGCATTTCAGGCACTTTCTCAGGGCTATAGGACAGGACCTGAATGAAACCCATCTCCCTATCAAGCTTTCCACCAACTAAACTTCCTGTGGACCAGTATGCTAAAGGATCCATATTTGGGCTCGTTTTCCTCCTCTGCCCATCTTAACCCCCCACTTCGCCCTGCCTGGGCGGCCTCCCCGAGCCCCATTCACTCCAGGGGAGATGAAGGCTGTGCCCCACCTAAGGCTGCCCTTCAAGGCAGTGATGCATCAACACTTCCCGCCCTTGGGCATTTCCTCCCCAGCCTCCCATTCTCCTCTCCATACCCCAATGGGGACTTTTCTCAGAAGTGGAAGGGGTAAACAAGAGTCCCTTTCTCAGTGCCCCAGAACTCATGTCTCTCTGCCCCACAGCTGGGGGGGCGCTGGTGAGAGTTAAGGCAGCACTGACAGGCGGGCTCACTGGACCTGTCCGTTTCCCCAGACACTCCCCATTGTGTTACTGTGCTTTGCACATGACGCTGCCACTGCTGCCTGGAACATCCTCTCCCTGACTTCTCTACATGGCAAACTCCTACTCAGCCCTCAAAAGCCAATGCAAGTGTTGCTTTGACTTTATCTCTTCAAACTCAAGTTTTACAAGTTGTTAACTACTAAATGACTTTTTATGTCTGCAGTGCCTTCCTCTGTGGTCCTGTAGCACAGTGTATACACATAGGCACTTACGTTGTGGCTCTCACCACATGGTGCTACACTGATTTATTCCTCTCTGCCCCACCTCCTCCACAGGGGGCAAGGGGCAGTGGCTGTGCTTTCTCCTCCGTAAATCCCAGGGGCAAAGCACAGTGCCTGGCACATAATGGGCCTAAATCAGTGTTTACTGAATGAGCGAACGAATGAATGAATGGATGGATGCATGGATGAATGAGTGAAGGAGTAAATGCATGAATGAATGAATGAGTAACAGGAAGTGAAAACCAGGAAGGCAGGAACTGGTTTAATAATCATCATATCCTCCTGCTTCAAGGTCGCCTGCTGTTTGCTGGATACAATGATTATACTATCAACGTCTGGGACGTTCTCAAGGGGTCCCGAGTCTCCATCCTGTTTGGACATGAAAACCGCGTTAGTACTCTTCGAGTTTCCCCTGATGGGACCGCTTTCTGCTCAGGATCATGGGATCATACCCTAAGAGTAAGAAGTGTTCTTCTCATTTACCATGTGTGAGAGGAGAGAGGAGGGGTGAGAGCAAGCTGAGAGGAGCCTGGTCAGCCAAGCAGAGCTCCAACTCCAGCTCCGCCCATAGCCACAGAAGGAATGGGTTGCCTGGGGAGGTCGCAAGTGCCCCATCAATGCAGGTGTTCACACATAGCTTAGACAACTGTGCGTCAGCATGGAGTTGAGGGAATAGTTGAGCTCCATGACCGAAAGATTCCTTTTGACCCTAAAAGTCTGATTCTTGTGATTCTAGCCTTTGGCCAACCACAGATTACCATTCTCTCCTCCCTGTAGCGTGGGGTTCTTATTACTATAATTGACCTTGTCATTGCAAGGGTCACGGACCCCTGTGAGGACCTTTTGGAGGCTTTTGCAGCCCCTGAAATTATATGCCAAATTGTGTGTGTGTGTGCATGCGTTTTTTCAGGAAAAGTACCCTCATGACTCTCATCAAATTCTCAGAGAGAGCTCCGTGACCTTATGGAATGTTGGCTCCCCCAAAATACCACCCAAATAGCCTGTTCATAAAGCACAGCCATGTGTATTGCTCACCTCAGTGTGGAAAATGACAAACTTGACAGAGGCATAGTGGCAACTCAGAAGGGGAGAGCAAAGGCATGTGTGAGGTTCTTGGGGTCTAGTTTAAGACAGGTCTTTTGATGGAGGGACCTAATTAGGATTGGACAAATTTGTGGCATAGTAGTTTTAAGAATGCTGGACATGGAGTGAGGGAAGGGGGAAGATTTCAAAGAAAGTCTTGAAAAGTAAACAGTCCTTTGATGTTGTACATTGTCCTGAGACATGGGTGTCTTTTCTAAAGAGGGTAAGTTGAATAGTCTAGTTTTAGGATAAATAGATAAAAGGATTTTTGCGAAGTTCCTGAAACAGACCAAAGAGTTCTTTTTGCATTCATCTTTTTGGGCAAGAGTGTCTTAAATTAGTAAAATCATGTTAATGCACACAGTTATATGGGTACGGATGATTTCAGTTCTCAATCTAAAAGAGTTACCCTTCCTGAATAAAGAGGCCGTAGATACCCTACAGATATTAACTAGCTCCCCAGGTGGGGAGCCAGGCTCAGAGAAGCACCTTCGAGTTGCTAGGAGTAAAGTGTTATCCTTCTTAGGCATGTGAGTGCCCTGCTTTGGATGGAGAGAGAGAGAGAGAGAGTGTGTGTGTGTGTGTGTGTGTGTGTGTGTGTACACATATATGCACATATGTGTGCATGTATGTAAGCAAACTGATTTTATCTCTTTAAACTCAAGTTTTACAAGTTGTTAACTACTAGGGGACTAAAAATTGTGTCTTTACAGGTCTGGGCTTAATCATCTTCTCACAACGCACACAATGCTGAGGATACGATTTGAAACCTTCACATGTAAATAGATACTACTTCTAGAGGAGCTGAGGTTTATTGCAATTTAGCTTGCGGGAGCAGCTCCATGGCTCAGAGATCACTAAGCCTCTCCAATATTACTACTAAAACCACCAACCCCAGAAATACACTAGTGTGAGCCTTCAGCACCTTCAAGTACAGTATTTTTCATTTTGAACACTTTTTAAAGTTTATCCGTTTTTAAGGTTATTATAAATTATAGTAGTCTCAACTCATCGTTACCAATAGAATTCAGCATTTAATATAGTCCACTTATTTCCTTGAATCAAATTTGTTTTCAAAGCACTTTAAAATCTTATTTTTCTTGGTGTGCACTGTGACTTTTGGAACCTTCCTATAGAAGTGCTGGTTTTACTATGACTACATATTTGATAACCTAGATAAAATGAACCAAAAAAAAAAAATGCTGGATTTATAGACTGTATGAGGACTGTGTTACATGGTCTGTGACAGAAGGAAAATTCCAGTTCCTAATGTAATTAGACAAAATCACATTTTAAAAAATGTTTTTATTGTAAAAGTATGTTTTTCAGCCTCCTGTTCTGTCTTTTTTCAGATAAAACATCTTTGTCTTTATAAACTGTTGTAAATGAAGAAGAGATATGCCTAAAATGGCCAGGATGTTTGATTCATGAATTATGTGATGTGATAGCACTTGGACAGGGCATTTTCTTTCATTTGAGGGAAAAGCTGAACGCTGTTTGTAACACAAATGCTTCCAAGAACAAGCAAAACCTTTCTGTGTGGGAACTTAAGACAGTAAGCTTATTTAAAAACCTATTAGTAGTATTAGTGGAAACACTTAGGTTAAAGTGGATCTTGTCCACATAAATTATATTCGTATGTATTCTGTAATTACATATACAGATTGATAGGTCTTGAATAATAATGTCTTTGTTCCTCTTGAGAGAAAAATAATATAAAAAGGATATCTTGTCTTTATTTGAAAATCAGCAAATCCTTCTGGAAGATGTCAAGTGCTTTTTGTTATAGGATCCCTTCTTTTCCTTTTTTTTTCTTTACAGGGTAGACGCTTAATCTTTGTTTTAGAAAACTCCTTATTCAAAAAAATGGCATGAATTAATTACCGGAATAAATAGTCACCTCAGACACCAGAAGTCATTCCTGGGTGCGGTTTGCCCCATGGGTGGCCTGGGGTCTGACTGCCAGGTCCTTGCCACACATGAGAGCTGCATGTGCCGAGTCTCTAGGCCGTCCTGTCTCCTCTCTCGGTCCTGCTCCTCCTACTGGTGGTTCTGGCTTTGCTGGTCCAGCCTCAGGCCCTGCTCTCAGAGAGGCCCTTCCAGAGCCGGAGCCAGGTATCTCCATGGGACAGGCCTGGACCTGACGTTCCTGTAAACATCAGGGGTGTGCCCAGCCCACCCTCAGAACTGATTGTTCAGATGTCATGATAGGTACATCAGTCAAAAATCAGCCAGGCCAGCTTTTCCATCACCTCATTTTAAATAAATATAATGGTTATATTCTGTCATTTGTGAAGCAAACATTTGATGAGGGTTTTACTACACATCAGGGGCTGGGGCAGAGAGGGAAAGATAAAAAAAAAAAACCCTGCCAGCCTCCAAAGAGCCCAGAGTTAGGGAGGGAGCGTGGTCCAGAGGGATGTTTTTTAGCCACCTTCTTCCCCTGGTGGATTTCAGTCTGGAAAGGGGCTCAGGAAATAGGCAGTGCCTGCACAGCTACTGCCAGCGTCTGACGGAGCCAGGCCCCAGGGTGTGGCCCTTTGAATTCCCAAGCTCCAGAATGTTCTGGAGTTGCCCGGGTCCAGCTGGCCTCCTCACGATGGCATCCCCTTCCCTTTCTCCCACAGATCCTTTTTGTCTCTGCACTCTGGGCCTTCTGGCTCCCAGAAGTGAGGGAAGACAGGGCAGAGAAAAGTTCACCTAGACCCATGGAAGCAAATTCAAGGTTCTGTGTTTGGGAGCAGAGCGCATCTTCAGTATATGTGCAAAATAGCTTGACTTTCCAATCGAATGTTACTTTAAGGGCCCAATAGAAGCACTGCATAGAACACTTCTACTTACCTCCATGGTGGTGAGCCACCTCCCCATAAGTATGTCCCCCCACAGCTGGGAGTATTGAGTGTATATTGATAAAATACTTGATTTGGGATAATATACTATACCATGTAGAGACTCAAGGCTAAACCCCATGTAATAAATTGTATTTTGCATATTAAAAATGATGCTGAGTGTAGTTTTTAAATCGGTTTTTCTTTTGTCCTGGAGGTCTTGGGGGCACACCTACCAAACTATTGTGGTAAGGGGGCCAAAAGGATGTGCGCCCAAAATGATGCTGAGTGTAGTTTTTAAATCGGTTTTTCTTTTGTCCTGGAGGTCTTGGGGGCACATCTACCAAACTATTGTGGTAAGGGGGCCAAAAGGATGTGCGCCCAAAGCTACGGAGCTGCGACAGCCCCTGCCCCAGCCAGAAGAAAGAAGGTTCAGGCAGAAAAGACGTGTGGAGTGATGGGTATTTATGGGAAGTATTTGTGAAGTGAAACCAGGTCAACTGCTTTAGAGTGGGCGGTCAACATCTCAGAAGTGGGGGCCCACTGCTGTCCCTGTTCTCCGGGAATGAGCCGGAAGCAGGCAGCCTGTGTCCTCTCCCCTCTTCCTACCCTTCAACCTCCTCCACACCTTCCCTAGATTGTAAGGGGTTAAAAGACAGCACAGGGTTGTAAGGCCTCTGTACCTGGGCTGTCAGTAGCTGCTTGGGCCAGTGGCTAGAAGGTGGCACCGCTGACACTGGAACTCATCTGTAAGTTAGAGGGGGCAGCACGGTGACAAAGGATGAGGACCCGGGTTCAGACCCAGCTCTACCGTTTTTACAGGCTATAATGACATCTCAATTTCTCAGCCTTGGCTTCCTCATCTGCGCCGTGGGCAGCACTAAAGTGTGTGCGGTGCCCAGCGCAGCCTTTGGCCCACCTTCGGCAAGGGTTAGTTCCCTGCTCCACACCCTCCTGTTCCTCTCCTCTGCTCCCTCTCCCTTTTCTAACCCTCCTCTTCCTCCCTGCTCTTCCCCCTCCTTTCCCTGCTCCCTATTTCCCTTCCTAGTGCTCTTCTGTCTTCTCTCCTCTCCTCCCCCATCCCCTCCCCCTCCATAGGTGGTCCATATCAGTTAGAGAGTCATCTGGGCCAGTGGTTCTCAAGCTTTTTGGTCTTAGGATCCCTCTACACTGAGAAAAACTGTAAAACCCAAGTATACAGAGCCATGCATTCCATTAACCATCAGGGAGATACTTTTACCACACATCTGTAGTCTCTGGAAAACTCCTGAGAGAATGAGTGAAAAGAACCATATGTACAAAAAAAAAAAAAAGTACTATTTTGACCCCCAAAAGGTCTCAGGGACCCTTGGGGGCTCTGGATCATAGTCTGAGAACTGCTGACCTAAGCTAATGAGCCCTTTCTGGCTGCTCTTTGTGAGACTTCCCTGAGGCAATTCAGGCCCTTGGAGGAGCGTGGAAAAGAAGGAAGAGACCAGGATAACAGAAGTGCTGGCCCCTAGGAAAGGCCCTCAGAGGCAGCTTTGGGGTAACCACGGCAGCACAGGAAGTGACAGCCGTTTGGAAGGGCTACAGGCCAACTAGGGCCAATGAACCACTGAAAATCCTTTCAGAGGAGGACACTGGGGATCCTGGGGTGAGCACAGCTGATAGGTTAGAGGATTAACTGGGGCTGGGGTTGGGGCTGCATTGCTTCCCCCAGCCTGGGAGAGCTGGCTGAGTAGGGATTTGTAGATCTTCGTTTCCCAAACTTGCCTGCTGAGAAGAAACATCCAGATCAACAGCAGGTTAAACACGGCTCCCTCAGACCCCTCTCCAGAGTTCTGGACTGGGTAGGCCTGACATGGGATGGGAATTCTGATGAGGAAGTATATTGGGTGAGCCCCCAAGTGAATGAATCTTGTCTCTGTGGATCCATTGTGAGGATGTGATGCTAAACCACTCACCCTCTCATCCATGCTAGGAGAGAATCGGGTCACTTCAGGGCATGCCAGACTCCTCTTTTCTAGACAACTTGCTGAAGCTAGGCTGGCCTTCAGGACTGGTCAGTCTCCACAAGGGGACTGTGGCCTACAGTGGGCTTCTAAGGGCCAATTCAGGTGAAAGACATGAAATTATTTAATATGTTTGTGTCATTATAAAAAGGATGCACACCCTCTAGTGAGGAGATGGGATCAGGAATGATGCCATGGCTAATTTAACCCACATAAATAAATATGAACTAAATGTAAATATGGTTCGAGCACTGACGTGAAAACTGTGAGAACAGGAAATGCCTGTCTTTGAACCCAAGGTTATCTAACCAGCACACCACTGCTGAATGCTCACCTTTGTCATAAACTACGGCCCATGAAGCAGAGGTCACTGTTTGCAGCCTGTGTTTTTTTCACAATAGTAGGCAGCCTCCCAAGAAAAATGAAAACTTTTTGTTTGTTTTGTTTTGAAAACAAAAACTGGAACACAGCTGTACATAGCAGCATTATTCATACAGCCAAAAGTGGAAACAACCCGAATGTTCAACAGTGGATGAGTGGATGAACAAAATGTGGTATATCCACAAAATGGAAAATTATTCAGCAATAAAAAGGAATGAAGTGCTGATTCATGCTACAACATGGATGAACCATGAAAACATTATACTAAGTGAAAGAAACTAGACACAAAGAACCACATATTGTATACCACTTATATAAACTGTTCAAATAACATTTTATATAAATTTGAACATTTGAACATTTTTCTCCATACAGAAAGTAGATTAGTGGTTACTTAGGACTGGGGGTGGGCAGTAACTGCTAATGGGTACTGGGATTCTTTAGGAGTAATGGAATTGATAGCAGTGATGGTTGCATAGCTCTATGAATATACTAAAAACCAGTGAATTACATATTTTAAAAGGGTGAATTTTAGGGCCGGCCCATGGCTCACTCGGGAGAGTGTGGTGCTGATAACACCAAGGCCACGGG